TATCCTTTGAATTTAGCTCAACTTTCGTTTCATCGGAGAAGAGAACATTTAGTAAAAAAAATCAGGTAAGTCCCTTTTATCGAACCCCACTGTATTTATTGTTGTTAATTTGTCATATAAAAATGTAATGTTGGTTTGTTTACCACAAAAATGTATTTTTACACTTTCATACAGTATACAGTAAGCGACCGGTAAATTGACGCCATTTTATATTTTTAATTTCGTGCATGAGCGTTTTTTTTAAATTTTGTCGAATGCAGAGTAGAGTTAGTGTCAGTTGGACACAGTCTTTAAGAAAAAGAGCGCGATGACGCAATTCACTCCGACAGAAATTTCGAAACGGGATGCTGTACTGCTTGGCATTCGCACCGGAAGCCCCAACACAAAAGAGTTTGGGTCTCAATCTGGAGACACTGCAGAGGATCCAGAAAGTGTTTGATGATATATCCAGTCAACATCATGGTGTTTGGAGTGATCACTAGTGATGGTGATATTATGCATCCATTCATCTCCCCACGAGACCCCAGTGTGACGTCGTCCCCCCTGGTCGCAGCGTCGACCGTGTCGTTCGATCCCGTTCGCGACGCCAGCTGTTCGCTCCTCGCTGCTCCAAGTGTGACGTTCTAACCCTTTGGTTAGATGAATACCAGCCTCGTCGTTCCCAACCCGCTTCCAACGCCTGGTTACCAGGGTAACTGCACTGATCTCCGGTCTGCCTACCCACGTTGTGATTAGATCTTAGACAGACGGGATCAAACAGGGATTGGGCCGTATGCAAGCTGAGTCCAACGGGGGTGATAACACACAAGAAAAATAAAAAACTCACAAGGTCAAAAATATTGAAGAAAAAGGTAACTTTTTATATCTAATTGCTCGTTACACAAGATTATTCCTACCTCCCGACCCGTTCTGTGGAATGTGGCACCACGCTTCTACCAAGCAACTTTAAGGCTTCGAGTTGCCTGCTCTCTAGAAATTTGCATTTCGGGGTGTGGTTTGGTTTCAACACTGGGCGCTGATCTCTACCTGTCGTTCACGGCTGATCTCTCTCGCCGTCCGTGGCTGCAACTGTTCTCTTCAGAGTCTGAATTATTGTTCACTCATCTCCGCCGTCAGTGCGCGAATTAACTTCTCTTCGGCTTCGGTTGGACGAGCTTATTCACTTCGGCTTGGGTTGGACGAACTTCTCTTCTTAGGCCAAACGAACCGCTTCTCTTGCCAGCAAAGGGGCGAATGAACCGGGTCGCCGCCCGCGCTCAAACTCCCTCGCCGTCCGCGGCGCAACTTCCTCTCGCCGTCCACGTTGCAACTGATTTCTGTCGGTTGGGGTCTCGCTTTTATTGATGCAGTCAAAACTGGGGTGGGTCTGTCGGCGCCAGGGTTTTCTTGATAATTCTAAATACGTATCCACCCTTCTTATTTCTGGTTAGGGATTTTCCATTTTCGGTAATTCACTTTCACCCTACCCTTACTGTGTGCCTGGGGGGGGTATACCCGCTTCCCCGCTCCTTCGTATGGCATGTGACCGCTCTCGGCCAATGGGGTCTTGGTCGGGCATCTTTCCTCCTCCCTCGCACGTCACGTGACCGCTCTCGGCCAATGGGGTCCTGGTCGGGTGTCTTTCCTCCTCCTTCATGTATCATGTGACCGCCTTCGGCCAATGAGGCTCTGGTCGGTATCTTTCCTCCTTCCTTCGTGACGTCTTTAATCGGGCGTGGACAATCCGTGGCTTTGTTCTGGGGAGGAAACACCTTGCTTAAAAAACAAAATTTAAATTGTCTTTTCGTACGTGACCGAAATGACGCTCTCGGTTTTTTTACACGCGGCATTTGTCAAACAGTTTATCGCTAATTGGATACGATCTAAGAAAGGGATTTCCCAGACTGGGTGGCGTTTTCGTGAACTAATAAAAATATTTCACTTTTTTTTCTTTCGCTCGGAGCTTGATAACAGAAATCTTAATCTCAAAAAAAAAAGCATTTTCTAACATCACCTTGTGTGGCTCCATTTTCAATTCTGGGATTGTCTGGGTTTTCGTATTAATGGTTTGCCTGTATATCCTTAGATAAACTCCCCACCTGTTACCTATCATATTTTTTTCCATTGTCTCTAAACTTTATTTCTTCAACCAAATCGATAACAAACTTCCATTTTTCGTGGACACGGAAGTAGGTCAGGTGCTTGACCGGGATCTTCCAACATCTGTTATGTATCAATCGAGCGTGTGTTTATTCGCTTATGACCTGGTTTTCGTATTATATTTTTCTTTTTTCTTTTTTTTCTTCTTCTTTTCTTTCTTTCTCCCAGATCGCTTGAATGTAAAGAAAGAATTATTCCTAACCCCGAAATATTTTTCAGCCTTAAATAATTATCAAATGGTTGACAAACCGTAAAAAACAAATCATATATTTATGAATATTTCTTTTCAGCTTTCTAACTATGCATGGTGCCACACCAGACTCAACACGGAGGCCTACATCAGTTGCATTGTTTCAAGAGGGTGGCGGTAGTAGTCAGCCATATTGACACATTATACCATAAAAACGGTATGTCTCGTTCATAAAAGCGTGATTAGGCTGTACATATACCGATTTTAATTAATTTTTTGCTCCTGTCAGATTTCTAGGGATATTTATGCTTTTAATAATTTTAAATCGAAGCAAAGGAGGGCAGCTCGGATTGAGGAATCGGAGAGCCGCGATCAAATTCCAGTTGTGTCCATTACATTCACCTACGTGAAAAAATGGATGCATAGCTTTCCCAAAAGTAATACTTTTAGGAAAGGTATGCATCCATTACTTCCACGCACCTCCGGAATGAGTAAATAGCAGGACAGATCAGGTCATATAAACTTGTGTGGCAAACCGGTCTAGGAGAAACAAAAACTCTGAATTTAAACCAGCCTGAAAAGGCTTGGGCTCTATTAGGCTTTCTCGACCGGGAAACATCACCGGTAATATGTCTTCAGTACAGGCGGTACCCCTTAGACCAACGGTCGGCAACCTACGGCCCGCGGGATGGATCCGGCCCGCGAAGCCATTTTGACCGGTCCGCGAGCCTGATTACCAATGACTCTATTTTTAACATGAGAGACGAGGCTTTTGAATTTCTGCCAGTTATCTTTCATGAGGCTTATTTTACTAAGTTGCGTTGCCTACGTTTAATATCAAATAATGGATACATATTTGTTATGACACTTGGCTACATTAAAAGATAACAGAAGCGAAAGGAACGATAAAGTGAAAGAGGCCAGGGAGGGACTGACATGCGAGGTAGCAGAAATCTAAAGACAGTTAAAAATACGCGCATTATACATATATGCCTCGTGAATGTGTGGATGATACCGCATGTGTACGTACGTAAGTGTATATGTTTGCAACTATTTGTATCTGTATGTATGGGTATATGTGCTTCGTTTTTGTTTGATGTGTGTGTAGTTCGTTTGTGGAACAATTTTCAATAACAGTTTCAAACCTAAACGTCATAATTTCATCCATTTCACTTCGGTTAATTTTTTTCACTTTGAAGTATTTTGACGTTCCTAGAGGAAAAGTAATTTTTGTTAGGTGTTTTTTTAATTTAAGATTTTCTTTTGTTTTTCTGATTTCTCAATGTTTATTTTCATTATGGTTTTAAATGTTTAGGTTGGCAGGGGCCTGCATATGTAATTTTCCTTAATTTTTCTTTAATATCCTTCGTCCGGCCCGCGACCCATCATTATAACACGATCCGGCCCGCGGGGGTCGAATGAGTTGCCGACCCTTGACTTAGACCCTAATGGGTTAAGTGTCTTGTGATCCAGATTAGGTTGTTCAATAATTAAGGAATGTTTTTGTTCGTTTCAAATGTTTTAGAATAAAACTCGAACAACGTGTAAAATTACGTATCGATTTAAAGTTTAATTTATGCTAATTATTTCTGTTTAATCTATTTTTAATATAGATTGCATTTTTGTCAATTTTTATATTTAAAAAATGATATTGTGAAAATAGGTTTTTCTCCTTTTTTTTATGAATATGAAATATGAGTTTAACCGTATTGAAAGAAAAACGCGTTTGAATTCAAATTATAAAAAATTGAGTTCAAACTCGATTTTCTTTCAACGCGTTTAAACTGTCGTAATGTAGCAATATCAATGAATTTTGGAACCAAATAAAGGCTAATGAATGCACAGTGGAATGTTGATTTGAAAAAATTCGGTCATTGTCTTAAGGAAGGCCGCCAACACCCGTCTACTGAAATTCTTAATGTTTCCTATTTCCTTTTGAGTAGGTGAATAAAATTAATTTATTCGTTTTTATAATGAATTTATTCGTTATTAAATCCTGATCTCTTCAATTCTGAAATTACCTGTCCATCTTTATGTCGCCATTTCGTACGCTAATACATATTTAAACAGTAACCGTCTACCTTGAGTGTCTCTTTGGCCTTTTATTGGATGAACATTAGTAAAAAAAAAATAAATACAAAATAGTCGGTGTTTTTTTGAGCGATGGTAATTCTTTTTATTACTCAGTAATCGTGTCAATTTCAATAATATTTTTGCCGGTAGAATATTTCCAGTTACATGTTCGGATGTCACTTGATGAAATCTTTAAGCAAGATATTTCAGGATTTCTCATGGCACAAATAAGCATACATTCAAAGAGTATCATCATGTAAAAAAATAGGGTCTTCATTTCTCGAGCAAGGAGAAGAATTTTGTTTCACTTGTATTATCATTAAATTCTATTCTGTGTTATGCTTAAGGAGCCATAGGTACGATATGACCGGCATTATTATTTTAACAGTAACATTTATAAGAATGATAATTGTAAAAATGTGCTAAAGAAAATAACAAAATAAAACAGAAGAAAAGCAGAAAAAAGCAGGGAAAGAAAAATAAATGAAACAGTTGGGAGTTAAAGTTGGATCAACGCAAAAGTTCTTATGGAGAACACATATATCAGGATTGATATGACGGCCATTAATAGAGCGACAAGTCTACTTACAAGAGCTTATCATTGTAATATAATAAGTGAGGCTGTTGTGAGAGAGCAAAAAAGTAGTGAGAAATGATGAGGGTGGAAGTAATGAATAAAGATATAAATAGAAAGAGTGAAAAGAATGATGGGGAGAATGGTGAACAAAAGGAAGGAAATGAGAAAATGATAACGCGGATGGGACAGAAATGATAGGAAGTACAGAAGGATGATGAGGGTCACACAGGAGGAAACGATATTAAATATTTTTGTGAAGAAAAAGAAAAAGGGAGAAAATAGAACGATAATAAATATGACGACGAAGAAGACAGAATGATAGTGAATATGACGACGAAGAAGACAGAATGATAGTGAATATGACGAAGAAGAAGAAAAAAGATGAAGAAGAACTGAAAAAACAGAAAGATAGTGAATATGACGAAGAAGAAGAAAAAAGATGAAGAAGAAGTGAGAAAACAGAAAGATAGTGAATATGACGAAGAAGAAGAAAAAAGATGAAGAACTGAGAAAACAGAAAGATAGTGAATATGACGAAGAAGAAGAAAAAAGATGAATAACTGAGAAAACAGAAAGATAGTGAATATGACGAAGAAGAAAAAAAGATGAAGTGAGAAAAAGAAAGATAATGAATATGACGAAGAAGAAAAAAAATGAAGAAGAACTGAGAAAACAGAAAGATAATGAATATGACGAAGAAGAAAAAGAAAAGATGAACTGAGAAAAGAGAAAGATAATGAATATGAGGAAGAAGAAGAAAAAAAGATGAAGTGAGAAAACAGAAAGATAATGAATATGACGAAGAAGAAGAAAAAGATGAAGTGAGAAAACAGAAAGATAGTGAATATGACGAAGAAGAAGAAGAAAAAAAAGATGAAGAACTGAGAAAACAGAAAGATAGTGAATATGACGAAGAAGAAAAAAGAAGAAAAAAAGATGAAGAAGAACTGAGAAAACAGAAAGATAGTGAATATGAGAAAGAAGAAAGAAGAAGAAAAAAAGATGAAGTGAGAAAAGAGAAAGATAATGAATATGAGGAAGAAGAAAAAAGATGAAGTGAGAAAACAGAAAGATAGTGAATATGACGAAGAAGAAGAAAAAAGATGAAGTGAGAAAACAGAAAGATAATGAATATGACGGAGAAGAAGAAAAAAGATGAAGAAGTGAGAAAACAGAAAGATAGTGAATATGACGAAGAAGAAAAAAGATGAAGAAGTGAGAAAACAAAGATAGTGAATATGACGAAGAAGAAGAAAAAAGATGAAGAAGTGAGAAAACAGAAAGATAGTGAATATGACGAAGAAGAAGAAGAAAAAAGATGAAGAAGTGAGAAAACAAAGATAGTGAATATGACGAAGAAGAAGAAAAAAGATGAAGTGAGAAAACAGAAAGATAGTGAATATGACGAAGAAGAAGAAAAAAAAGATGAAGAAGTGAGAAAACAGAAAGATAGTGAATATGACGAAGAAGAAGAAGAAAAAAAGATGAAGAAATGAAGAAGAAAAAGAAAAAAAAGATAATGAATATGAAGGAGAAGAAGAAGAAAAAGAAAAAAAAGAAGTGAGAAAACAGAAAGATAATGAATCTGACGAAGAAGAAGAAAAAAAGATGAAGAACTGAGAAAACAGAAAGATAGTGAATATGACGAAGAAGAAAAAAAAGATGAAGAAGTGAGAAAACAGAAAGATAGTGAATATGACGATGAAGAAAAAGATGAAGAAGAAGAAAAAAAAAGATAGTGAAATGACGAAGAAAAAGAAAAAGATAGTGAAAATGACGAAGAAGAAGAAGAAAAAGATGAAGAAGTGAGAAAACAGAAAGATAATGAATATGACGGAGAAGAAGAAGAAAAAAGATGAAGAAGAACTGAGAAAACAGAAAGATAGTGAATATGACGAAGAAGAAGAAGAAAAAAGATGAAGAAGAAGTGAGAAAACAGAAAGATAGTGAATATGACGAAGAAGAAGAAGAAAAAAGATGAAGAAGTGAGAAAACAAAGATAGTGAATATGACGAAGAAGAAAAAAGATGAAGAAGTGAGAAAACAGAAAGATAGTGAATATGACGAAGAAGAAGAAAAAAGATGAAGAAGTGAGAAAACAGAAAGATAGTGAATATGACGAAGAAGAAGAAAAAAGATGAAGAAATGAGAAAACAGAAAGATAATGAATATGACGGAGAAGAAGAAAAAAGATGAAGAAGTGAGAAAACAGAACGATAATGAATCTGACGACGAAGAAGAAGAGAAAAGATGAAGAAGTGAGAAAACAGAAAGATAGTGAATATGACGAAGAAGAAGAAGAAAAAAGATGAAGTGAGAAAACAGAAAGATAGTGAATATGACGAAGAAGAAGAAAAAAGATGAAGAACTGAGAAAACAGAAAGATAATGAATATGACGGAGAAGAAGAAAAAAGTTGAAGAAGTGAGAAAACAGAAAGATAGTGAATATGACGAAGAAGAAGAAAAAAGATGAAGAAGTGAGAAAAGAGAAAGATAATGAATATGACGAAGAAGAAAAAAGATGAAGTGAGAAAACAGATAGTGAATATGACGAAGAAGAAGAAAAAAGATGAAGTGAGAAAACAGAAAGATAGTGAACATGACGAAAAAGAAGAAGAAAAAAGATGAAGTGAGAAAACAGAAAGATAGTGAATATGACGAAGAAGAAGAAAAAAGATGAAGTGAGAAAACAGAAAGATAGTGAATATGACGAAGAAGAAGAAGAAGAAAAAAGATGAAGAAGAACTGAGAAAACAGAAAGATAGTGAATATGACGAAGAAGTAGAAGAAAAAAGATGAAGAACTGAGAAAACAGAAAGATAGTGAATATGACGAAGAAGAAGAAAAAAGATGAAGAAATGAGAAAACAGAAAGATAATGAATATGACGGAGAAGAAGAAAAAAGATGAAGAAGTGAGAAAACAGAACGATAATGAATCTGACGACGAAGAAGAAGAGAAAAGATGAAGAAGTGAGAAAACAGAAAGATAGTGAATATGACGAAGAAGAAGAAGAAGAAAAAAGATGAAGAAGAACTGAGAAAACAGAAAGATAGTGAATATGACGAAGAAGAAGAAAAAAGATGAAGAACTGAGAAAACAGAAAGATAATGAATATGACGGAGAAGAAGAAAAAAGATGAAGTGAGAAAACAGATAGTGAATATGACGAAGAAGAAGAAAAAAGATGAAGTGAGAAAACAGAAAGATAGTGAACATGACGAAAAAGAAGAAAAAAGATGAAGTGAGAAAACAGAAAGATAGTGAATATGACGAAGAAGAAGAAAAAAGATGAAGTGAGAAAACAGAAAGATAGTGAATATGACGAAGAAGAAGAAGAAAAAAGATGAAGAAGAACTGAGAAAACAGAAAGATAGTGAATATGACGAAGAAGTAGAAGAAAAAAGATGAAGTGAGAAAAGAGAAAGATAATGAATATGAGGAAGAAGAAAAAAGATGAAGTGAGAAAAGAGAAAGATAGTGAATATGACGAAGAAGAAGAAACAAGATGAAGAAGTGAGAAAACAAAGATAGTGAATATGACGAAAAAGAAGAAGAAAAAAGATGAAGTGAGAAAACAGAAAGATAGTGAATATGACGAAGAAGAAGAAGAAAAAAGATGAAGAAGTGAGAAAACAGAAAGATAGTGAATATGACGAAGAAGAAGAAAAAAGATGAAGAAGTGAGAAAACAGAAAGATAATGAATATGACGGAGAAGAAGAAGAAAAAAGATGAAGAAGTGAGAAAACAGAAAGATAGTGAATATGACGAAGAAGAACATAGAATTATGTGATTGACGAAGAAGAAGAAAATAGAAAGACAATGTGAATGACGAAGAATAAAAAGAAAATGATAGTGTAAATAATGAAAAAATAATAAGACGAAGTAAAACACAGACTAATAATGTGAATGACGAGGAAGAAGAAAAAAAAACATAGATTGATCGTAGGAACGAAGAAGAAGAGGAAATAGAACAATGATATGAGCGGGAAAATAAGAGAAGAACATAGATTGATAATTTGAATGGCGAAGAATAAAAAGAAAATGATAGTGTAAATAATGAAAAAATAATAAGACGAAGTAAAACACAGACTAATAATGTGAATGACGAAGAAGAAGAAAAAAAACATAGATTGATCGTAGGAACGAAGAAGAGGAAATAGAACAATGATATGAGTGGGAAAATAAGAGAAGAACATAGATTGATAATTTGAATGGCGAAGAATAAAAAAAAGAAAATGATAGTGTAAATAATGAAAAAATAATAAGACGAAGTAAAACACAGACTAATAATGTGAATGACGAAGAAGAAGAAAAAAAACATAGATTGATCGTAGGAACGAAGAAGAGGAAATAGAACAATGATATGAGTGGGAAAATAAGAGAAGAACATAGATTGATAATTTGAATGGCGAAGAATAAAAAGAAAATGATAGTGTAAATAATGAAAAAATAATAAGACGAAGTAAAACACAGACTAATAATGTGAATGACGAAGAAGAAGAAAAACATAGATTGATCGTGGGAACGAAGAAGAAGAACAATAATATGAGCGGGAAAATAAGAGAAGGACATAGATAGATAATTTGAATGGCGAAGAAAAAAAGAACATAGGATGATAATATGTATGACAAAGAAGAAAAATAAAAAAGAATAATAACATGAATGACAAAGAAGAAGAAGAAGAAGATAGAATGATAATTTGAATAACGGGGACGAAGAAGAAATTGAATAAATGATAAACATGACAATGAAAAAAGGTGTACAGTATAACCCGGATATAAGAGACCCGGATATAAGAGAAATTTTCTCTGGCCCCAAATTAGAGCCCATACTTACCTAAACAAAATAGACCCAACCCGGATATAAGAGAAACCCGGATATAAGAGACTTCTCCGGTCCCGACAACTCTCTTATATCCGGGTTACACTGTATATGAATATAGCAAAATTGACGAATAAAATGATGAAATAATAAAGGAGAGAAACGAATGAAGGCGAACGAAAAAGAAAATAATAGAGCATAAAAGGGGTCGACAAAAAAAAGAAAAAGTAGCAGAAGGAGGAGGAGGAGGAGGAAGAGGAACAATAAGACGATTAAACTCCAGAAAAAAAAAAGAGAATGGATTTCAGAATGAAAATAAAGAAGAAATAGTCGGAATGAGGATATGGATGACAAAGAAGAGAATAATTCAATGATTATTAGGACAATAAAGACCAACAATGAAGAATGCTGAGAGGGGTGAAAAATGAGGAGAAGACAATAACAGAATTATAAAATCGATTACTAGAAGAAAAGTAGCAATTGAAAACAATGTAAAAAAAAAAGTGCAATATGAAATGAAATAAACAAATGAAACATTTTTCTATTTGTCCCAGAAGGCTACCAATCTATCGTATGATTAGAAATGAATGAAATATGTTGTGAAAAGTAAAGACAATACCGAATGAACGGTGGTGAATGGTGTTGAAAATAAAACAAAAAAAAAAAAAAACAAACGTTTCTGGAGTTAAAATAGAAGACAAAACGCCAAAGCAAAGAACGTTAAAATGAGGTAATGATGACAAGGGATGGATTATGAGGTTCTTTAGTGCGAATCATGGAAAGAGAGTCAACCAAGAACAAATAAAAGGAAGTTAGGCAATGCTGTCAACCGTAGAATTAATAAAATTGGGATCTTAGCAGTAGAATTACGTCCCCACCGCGCCACGGAGTGTATATAAGGCAAAAATTGGAAGCGTAGACGATGAATTCAATGTGGAATCACTTATGAAGTTACACGATGAGAATGCAAGGAAAATGAAAGAAAAAGCTATATGCACAAAGAAAATGAGATCTGAATTGGTAAGCTTGTTAGAAATTCGGATATGGAAACACGTTTTAATTTGAAATATGATAGGAAAGTTGGCATTAATATGTACATCAGTTTGGATTAGTTACGTTACATCCAATGCAATAATATACGAATTTTCTAAACGTATATTAGATGTGGAACAAAGCCGAAAATATGGGCACCCATTGATAATTGAACTCGCTACTCAGTCATAATTGTTCTAGCGAAACAATTTTGATAACCATTACACCACATAAATATATATATATATATATATATATATATATATATATATATATATATATATATATGAATATAGAAGTCAAACTTAGAGACACGACAGTTTGTTTCATGCTAGATGCAATCGTCGGGCCACGGTGGCATGACGATTGCATCTAGCATGAAACACTGGCCTAAATGTTGACTTCTATGTTCACTTTTTGTATTTACACACGCTCTTTCTCTGATATTGAGTATTTTATCCCATAAATATAGCACATCTTAAGACTATATTTCTTATATATATATATATATATATATATATATATATATAAAAGGTTCAAATGGTTATAATTTACATTGGAATAGTAATCATGATCCAATTCATCATACCTACAAATTCAGTATATATATATATATATATATATATATATATATATATAACAGACAGAGAGGAGAAACTGATCTAAATTTAAACTTGTCTTATTAATTACTTATTGTGTCTGATCTAATTAATATTGTATAATGCAAGTAATAATAATTATTACCTGCAAATACAAATTAAAATATGTAAAAATAATAATTAAATTGATAAATCATCATTTTGTATCATGAACCGATTTCGCGGAAGCTATCGAGTTTATGAGTTTGTCTAGTTGGTATCTATTCCTTATTCCTTTTGCGACCTTCTGTAGGGGATATAGCATTTTTTTTATTTTTGAATTTGCCATCGATTGTGTTATACGCTCATATTACACGTTAAACCTTACTATTGTGTTGGCGTCCTGGGTATGACGATAAACTCCTTCCAGGTCCTGGGTAAGACGATAAACCACGCCCAACAGCAAGGCCTCTGATCATGATTTTTGAGGAGCGTGGCGCCACCTTTTAATTCCCAGGTTCACCCCGACCTGCAGTTGTACCACCTGTTAAGGTCCCATATATGGGCAGATAGTTAACACCCAAACTTGTGTAGAAATAGGTTTTAATACCAGAAATACTTTGTAATAAGAAAAATATTACGAGCAGTAATTTTTGAAGGAAAAATTATTATCAGCAATACTTTAAAAAAAATCCCAGCAATACAAACAGCTATACATGCTTTGAAAAAATATGACCAGCTATAGATTTATAGAAAATTATACACAGAAATGAATTTTTGAAGAAAAACATATTATCAGCAATAAAAATTTTGTCGGCATTAAATAAAGCATTGAGGTTGATAAGCCGTAAAACAAAACAAAATAAACCTTACTATTGTGTTGAATTTTTCTATCTTTTTTTACGCTTTTGAAATTAAATTTCGAAAACGTTCTTTGGCTTTCAGCGACAACACCCATACAAATAGTCCTTCAAATAAATTTTTATTTCTTTCAGTTTATTCATCCAAATATTGTGCTTTATTTTATTCATAGTCATTATCATCTTTAATGCGCCATGTTCCTTCAGGACGTGGGCGATCATGGTCCTCTGCAACGTCTTATCCTTTGTAGCCCTTAGTAATGTTTGTCTTTTTTTTATACCAACCAATCTCTCGACAGGTAGGTTATGCTATTCTTTCCTCTGTCCTTCTTGTATTCAATACGCCTTGTGAGTGTAAATTTTCCAAACATTCTTTCTCATTTAAGTGCATTGGAAATTGCAACCATCTCTTTCTAATGTTAATTAGAAATATTATTTTCTGTTTCCATTTTCTTTGATACTTCGTCGTTGCTGAAACTTTCATTCCATTGTATTCTCAGTATCCTTCTGTAGAGCTACATTTCTTTTGACACACGTCTATTCTCTATTTGTGAGAAGATGATTCTGTATTCACTGGAGTATAGGAGTTAGTCTTAAAGTTAATTTTCTTTCACTATGCCAGACATTCCTAAAATCCTACCATTTCTGACTTGTTAACATATTAATGCTGAAAACGCTCTAGGTTCACGGTTTCACAGCTCGGAAATTTGTCGCCTAAATCCCCTGCTAATTTCAGTTCATTAAACCTGCTTAATTTCTACAACGAACGCAACCAATTATAATTCGTGGAGTCGCACACATAGAACATTTCTTCATATAAGCTCCACGCGCGCTATCTCATTCAGTCACACCTCACCTGATCATCCTTCATTTGAATATCACGTGTTATCAATGTCCTGAATTGTTTTTTCTTTTTTTTTTTTTGCAACATTTGTTTCTTTAGGGATCCTCCTCGTGATATTTTTTCCGACATCCAATTACTCAAACTTTGTTTACTCATATTTTCTTTCCCGGTTCTTCCTCTTCATTTCAGTACGGCCTGTGCGCGTTAAATTATCCATGCCTTCTTTCCTCATTATTGTCGATTTCTTTGCAGGTTCTATTCTCCTTGAAACTTCCGTGTTACATACAGACACTGAAAATTTTATTCTCGACATTCGCTGATTGTGAGGTAGTTTTCGACTGTACAGAGTCAAATCTTTTATCATTTAAATTGTTCTGTACATACCGGAATAAATGAAAATTTTATTCTCGACATTCGTTGATAGAAACTCGACCAAGTCCCTCCGGCATTTATAAAGATATTAGCCAGATTTCACAGCCATGAAATAGATTAAATATTTCAGTGATATTTTCTTTGTTTCTAAAGACATTTTCCTATTCCTTGACCATTTGCTTTCAAAACATCCTTTTATTTTCCTATATACTCTTCTGAGTCTTAGTAGCATTTTCCTTGTACTTCTTAGATTATGGCAAACGCCTGATTAGAAAATTTAAAAAAATAATTAAATACTCACATAAAATAACATTTATTCATCAAGTATATAGTATGAATTGTTTTTAAAAACTGTCTCCGTCGTTCTACAAACATTTTGATACCATTTTCGTAGAAACTACTGTTTTTGAAGGGAGCTGATTGTGAGTTATTTTTCGACTGGACAGTGTCAAATCTTTTATCATTTAAAGTGTTCTGTACATACCGGAACAAATGAAAACCTGAAGGAGGTAATTCAAGAGAATATGGGGAGTGTTAGAGGGTCTCCCATTTCAACTCTTTAAGCTTCTGAAAGCTCTGTTTCGCAACATGCGCTCTTGTGTTGTCGTGCTGAAAAATGACACCTTTTCGAGTTGCCAAAATCGGCATTTTGTTTTCTAGAACCCAAGTCTTGAATTGGCCAAAGTCACTTGAGATATTGGTTTTCAAATCCTTAACAATTTACACCCGTTCAAGTTTACCTGGATCGTGATTGATTGTTAAGATGTAAACAACCCCGATAGAATCTTGCCAAACCATTTTTGAACGTACGACTACTGGACCGATCCAAATAAATCGACCGGATTTTTTTGTCGCAATTCCGACGGTTACAGCTTTCCGAAACTGGTAAAAGTTATTTTATTAACATATAGGAGATTACATATTAAAAGTTATTAGAATATAGCAGATTAGACATTAATATTTATTAGCATATATCGATTAGACATTAATATTTATTAGCATATAGCGATTAGACATTAATATTTATTAGCATATAGTAGATTAGATATTAAAATTTATTAGCATATAACAGATTAGATATTAAAATTTATTAGCATATAGG